CCCGAGGAACTGTAAGAGGTTCCGCAGGGCCCCGATCTCTTCTGGGAGCTCATTCCTCCAGGATGGAGCCACCACCGAGAATGCCCTGGCCCTGGTTGTTGATAGCCTGGCCTCCTTAAGACTCGGGAGGGCTGATCGGTTCTGGGGCCCTGAATGCAGTGCTCTCTGGGGATTATGTAGATGTATGTATGTAGATGAATATATCTTTAAGTTAGCTTGACCCTTCCAACAGTGCTGGTATATTTTGGGTTGAGTTTGTCTTCCCCTTTCCCCATCTTTTATACAGTGCCACTTCATATGGCTCAAGTGGTTAAGACGCTGAACTGCAGGCTGTGGAAGGTCGTTAGTTCAGCAGTTCGAGACCCAGGTGCCGCATGACGGAGTGAGCTCCCGTCTCTAGTTCCAGCTCCTGCCAACCTAGCAGTTCGAAAGCAAGACATTGCAAGTAGATAAATAGGGACCACTTCGGTGGGAAGGTAACAGCGTTCCGTGCGCCTTGGTGTTTAGTCATGCCGGCCACATGACCACAGAAACGTCTTCGGACAGCGCTGGCTCTTCGGCTTTGTAACGGAGATGAGCACCGCAACCCTAGAGTCGGATTCGACTGGCTTTCGAGCAAGGGAACCTTTACCTTTTATACAGGGCCAGTTCCAGGTTTGGGGGAGTGCCTAGGGCCCCCCTCCCCCTGCGTGCCCCCAGTCCCTCTCCTTGCACCCCCTTCCTGCCCACCCACCTGCATGCTCCCCTGGTCTGCTCACAAACTGTGCACCACCCGCCTATTCAGTGACAGCGCAGGGCACTGCAAGCAACCGGGAGTGCTTCCACCACTGTGCACCAACTGCATGCTCTTCTCTGGTGGCACGGGCAGGGGTCATTTTGTAGAAAATGAGGTGCAGGAGCTCATTAGCATAACTCATTAGCATAACTTATTTGCATATTCCACACCCCCTGACATCACCGGAAGGCAACACCCACCGCTCAGGCTCCACTGGACTGTTTTGGATTGCCACCTATTGGGGGGGGGGGGAGACGTTCAGATCTGTCCTCACAGAGGAGGGAGAGCTTGTACCTGAATAAAACTTGGTCTTAAAGGTGCCACTGGACTGTTTTGGACCGGGGGGAGCTCTGCAGCTTACCTGGCTGCTTCTTGCTCTGACTGAGGGCTGCTGGGAGCAGGGGGTGGGGCTTGTTGCATGTGCCCGCCCCCTGGGCTCTCTACTGCCGGAGCTCCGCTCCTGTGCGCTCCTGCAGGAAATGACCCCTGGGCACAGGGCAGTGTATTCAGCCAGGGGCTAGAGCTAGGTTTGAGTCCAGTAGCCCCTTAGAGGCCCACAAGGTTTTGGAGGTATGAGTTTTCGAGAGTCAAAGTTCTCTTAATCAGATATCTGATGGTTTGACTCTCGAAAATGTATACCCGGCAACTCTTGTTGGTTTCTAAGGTACCACCGGACTCAAATCTGGATCTTCTACTGCAGACAGACACGGCTTCCCTCTGAAATGACCTTCATCAGGGCTCGAAACTTTAAAATCGTCTTTATCAATTTTAATTTAATATACAGTGCATTAAGCTAAGATACAGTGTAACGCAGTGCATCCAACCAGGGGTCTTGTTGTAGAAAAAGAGCTGCCGGAGCTCATTAGCATAACTCATTAGCATAGCTTATTTGCATATGCCACGCCCCTGACATCATCGGAAGTGACAGAAGGCCACACCCCCTGACATCACCGGAAGTGTGTCAGAAGGCC